CGATGGTTGGAGCTGGGACAATGCGATGGTCCTGAACGTCCGGTTCGGTGGGTCTGGCCTTTGGTGCAGGTGGAGGCGTGGCGATCATGGTGGTGTAGGTGTAGGTGGCGGTATCTGTGGTGTAGGATTCGGTGGATGTTCATCTTGTTGAAGAAGGAGTTGACGTTGTTCTTGTGCCCGTTGAGAATCCATGAGTAATAGTTGCTGAGCTTGGATAAGTCGAACAGATTCGGCCAGTTGTTGTGCGGTGGAACCCAGGGATGCAAGTTCAGGTGGCACGGATGAAGTCGGTGCTGTCTTAGGTGTCGATGGTGTAGCGTGAGGAGGGGTTTTCGGAGCTGGTCTGCGCGGTCGATCCGGTCTTTTGTCAGAGCGATGCCTGGGAGCTGCTTTGACTGCTGGGGGCCGTGGTGAAGGCTCATTTGGAGGGATCGTCGATGCGTCCATCTGTAATGGAGGTTGAATGTGGTGAGGTGGGTATGGAGAACTGGGCAAAGGAGTCGGTGTCATAGTCGATGTAGGTGGTGTAGTCGATGTAGGGGATGGAGCCGAAGTGGAAGGCCACGCGGGTGGAGCGGTAGGTGCCATAGGAGATGGAAAAGTCGACGGAGCGGTGTGTACCATAGTTGGTTCAGGAGCCAAAGGTGAAGGCATGGTGGGTACAAGTTGTGGACCTGGTACTGCATGAGGAGCCGAAGTCAATGAGGTGAACGGCAACGATGTTGGGGCGGATGTAGACGGCATGAGCGAAGCGGAGGATGACCATGTAGGATGCAAAGCCGAGGGATGTCCAAATAAATGTGCACTCGGTGTCGATTGCGGCCACGTCGAAGATGGGTTCGAAGGCTGTGGTGGAGCAGGCCATGATGTTGGAGTGTTCCACGGATGCATCGCTTCAGTAGGTCAAAACAAAAGTGGACAATTGTAAAAAGTTTCACATACAGGATTCAGTCCCTAACTACCTACAAAATCGTGCAATTATTCCCTGCACCGGGACCGTGGTCAAGTCGTGCCGCAATGGCATAAAACAGCTTTCAAGTTCCAACGAATTAGATGCACAATATGTTTCACCTCACCAGAGAACCAAAAGGAAAGAATACCACACCTGAAAGTCGTGTGCCTGCCTGATCATAGGTCGTGAAATAATGCAATATGACGCTGCAAAAGTTGCTGCAAAAACGGAGGTTTCTGGCAATTCAGAATGGCTGCACAGTTGAAGAAACGCATCGGCGAGGAATCCCTGGGACCGCAAGATCAGCGGGACAAACTCAAAAGGCAGGAAAAACAGTATGGCCGGCTGTTGCAGTTTACTTAGATGAATTACCAACTTAAAATTCGTAAATTCGGTAGTCCGGACGGTCATCACTCACCCTGAAAAGGGTTGCCTCAATTGGCTCCATGGCACCATGTCGGAGCCACCATGGAAATCACACTAGACAAGAATGGATCATTATATGATCCGGCAGGAACTGAATCCTGAAACATGCAAACCAGCCTAGATTATTTGATGAATAAAAGAGCCACATGAGGTACTTCTCGCAAACGATGTAGGGCATCCGAAATTGTCAAACGTAGTCATAACCAGATTCCATAGAGTTTTGACCAGCATGTTGAAATCCAAAATAATGTTTCGGCGATTGTTTCCCAAAATAACCCATAGTTCGTCGGCGACAGGGTCTCGGCGAAAATAAGTCAAAAAACATAATACTGTCGGCGATATGGTTTCGGCGAAAATCTGAGGAAGGTTCTGATGCAGGCAATACAGATTGTGGCAACCGTGTAGATTCGAAACAACGCAGTGTAACAGCTTGTTCAACAGTTCAAAAAATCGCAGGTACGTTTTCACCCCCATGCTGTCTGGTCTTCGTTGGCCAGGACAGACAGTCATGGGTTCCTGGCCCCCTGCAAATTAGTGAAAACCAATCAGAAGTTTTACATCTGTTCAGATGGTACACACACACACACACAACTTGCTCACACACAACTTACTCACACACAACTTGCGCACACACAACTTGCTCACACACAACTTACTCACACACACACAACTTGCACACACACAACTTACTCACACACAACTTACTCACACACAACTTGTTTACACACAACTTGTCCACACACAACTTACTCACACACAACTTGCACACATACAACGTACTCACGCAGGCGTGGCACTTGGCGACATGGATCGTCACTTTGCGTGGCAGGCGTGGCACGTATGGCACTGGGCTGGCTCTGGTGGCGCGCTGGGTTCCCACGTGCCGCCGTGGTCGCCGCGGCTTTTTGCGTGGCAGGCGTGGCAGGCATGGCACTTGGCGACATGTAGCTGCACTTTGCGTGGCAGGCGTGGCACTTTGAGACATCCACCTGCATTTGCAAAGGAAAAACTCGTGTCGTTGCTGCTCGACTGCTTCTTTTGTGACATCTCTTCACTTCCTAGCAGTCCACCTCCGTTTAGTCCAGGTCTGTGACTTGTAGAAGGGCAGGGGGACCGGGATGCCGAAGATGATGTACTGGTGGGACCACCGTACGCTCAATGAGAGCGTACGGCTGATAACCTGTGAATGGGTTATGCCCCAATCTTCAACTTGTAGTACTGGTCTTCTGTGATCGTTACCACGTTCTTGCCCTCAATGTCAGCAGCAGCGCGCCATTTTTTTTTGCATACGGGAGACGTATCTTGAGCCAAGCAACGGTAAGTGCTGGATCCGTTGCCGCTCACCTGAATTACTGCTCCCTGTGCAATGATGAGAACTGGTGATCTAACATGACCTGTATACCAATCACAATATATATATATATATGAGAAGGGGGGGGGGCGAAAGCCAGCCTCCGAACAAATGCTCAGGCGGCGTTTTTTTCTTTGCGCTTTATGCTCTGTGTGTTGCATCTGAGAGCTGTGCACCACAGAGATCAATTTTTCGCTGCTGGCCGTTTCACCACAGCAACCAATCCTGTTGTTGCAGCTTGGAGGCTTATCCCAGAAAGATTGCATGGCGAATCTTCGAAACCTTGTTGTTTCAAGGTGGTTGGAGATAGTTTTACACAGAGACGCTTTTACACACAGAAGATTTTACACACAGACACGCAGACCCTTTTACACACAAAGATCTTCACACAGAGACGCTGTAACACAGACCCTTTTACACACAGACTTTTTTCCACACAAACATCTTTACACAGAAATGCTTTTACACACAGACCCTTTTACACAGAGACACTTTTACACACAGACACTTTTGCACACAGACCCTGGCACGCACACACATGTTTTTCACACAGACCCTTTTACGCACAGACGCTTTTACACACAAACACTTTTACACACAGACCCTTTTACACACAAACATATTTAGACAGAGACGCTTTTACACACAGACCCTTTTACACAAACACACGCTCTTTCACACAGACCCTTTTACACACAGACACGTTTACACACAGACGCTTTTACACACAGACCCTTTTACACACAGAAGCTTTTTCGCACAGACCCTTTTACACACAAACATCTTAACACAGAAACAGTTTTGTCCTAACGCCTTTACACACAAACAGCTTCACACAGCGACGCTTTTACACACAGACCCTTTTACACACAGACGCTTTATGACGCTTTTACACACAGACGCCTTGACACACAGACGCTTTTACACACCAACTCCTCACACAGAGATGCTTTTACACCGAGACGCTTTTCACACAGACCCTTTTACACTACACACAAACGCTTTTACACACAGACGCTTTTACACACAGACGCTTTTACACACAGGCCCTTTTACGCACAGACCCTTTTACACACAGACACTTTGCACACAAACACT